TGAATATTATTTGCATTAATCGATGGATTCTCAACCTTTTAAAACCAAAGTCTGATTTAGTTTATTGTGAAATAAAACAGAAACAGAAAATGAATTGATTACTAAATGAACCCTTAAAACAGATGTAATGAGACACATCAGCACTGGGATGTTCCTGTCAAGAGAGAACTGTTAGAATACAGAAATATTATATTTATATCTTCAGAGGAACCAAGAGACCAAAGCCAGGAACTGTCCACAAACTTATGGCCATGAAGTGAAAAGTAACATCACTTCTATAGTTTCTATTTCTTGAACCAGCTCACAGCTTCTCTTCAACTTTCATTCTCTGGAAAACAGATGGATCAGCTGTTCCATGACGTCACAGACACGCCCTCTAAAATATCATAATTATAGATCCTTCATCTTCAGCTGCGGTTCAGGTTTCATTTCCTTAACTTTCGTTTCGTCTCATATCACTCCGCAGCGGAGGAAAACACAGGAAATAGTCCTCAATGAGTAAGAAAACAAGAGCAGATAATTATCTTGTAGAAGTAGTTGTAGTATTTTATACTACTATTTATACTACAACTAAAAAATGGCTTTTTACTGAGCAGGTATCAGAGAGATGAAGAGTCAACCTCAGCACCTGAGCGACTCACCGGCCTTTGCCAAACCTGCAGTTTCCATAGATGAAGAACTTGCAGAGGTGCAGCTGCTGGCAGCCTCCGCTCTCCTCCCGGTGCCCCCCGCCGCTCTCCTCCCGGTGCCCCCCGCAGCTCTCCTCCCGGTGGCCGCAGCCGCCGCCGCCGCCGCCGCTCTCCTCCCGGTGGCCGCAGCCGCCGCCGCCGCCGCCGCTCTTCTCCCGGCTGTAACTTCTGCACAGCCGCAGGGACGTCTTGGCCACCACGGTGCAGTCCTCGAGCCGCTCCCCGCGGACCAATAGGAAGCGGGGACACTTCTGCACGATGAAGCAGAACTCTTCTTCGCTGACGTCGCAGCGCTGCAGCAGCTTCCGGTGCAGCTGCAGCAGCTTCATGGCTCCGGAGCTGCTGCACAAGAAGCCGGTGGCGAGCTGCACCTCTCTGCTGTAGCCGGCCATGACTGCTCGCTGCTTGGCTTCTACTGGTCTCTACCGAGCCTCTACCGGGAGGACACCAGCAGCACACTTCCGCTGACAGCCTGTCAAAATAAAAGCACGCTGTCACACTACAGCTGTTTGCTGTGTGAGAGGTGACAGCCAATCACAACCGCTGGTCGTGTGTCGGGAAATAAATACGAGGAAGAAAAAGAGGATTTATAATAATAATAATACATTATTGTTATTATTATTATGATTTATTTGTTCATATATATCCACTAATAAAATGAATAAACACCACATTCATAAACTCTGAATTACATACATTTTTTTTACAACATATTCATTTTTGTAACAATGTTTGTTTTCATTTCTTTTCTTCCTCTTTGACTTAAACGTTCGGGTGTAACGTCCTCGTGACGGTTGGAGGTGTCTCAGGTGTTTCTAATCACACAGGTGAGACTCGTCAAAGAGTGTGACGTCACAGCGGATCAGAGCGCGCTCGCTGGTCGGTGAGACAGGATGCTGTCTGTCTGTGTGCTGGTGTGTCTGCTCACCGTTCACTCAGGTGAGAAACACCTTCATGTGGTTCAGTTCAGCTGAACAGCTGCTCTCAGGTCAGTCTGAACTGAGACGATCTGTTCTGTGTCTGCAGCTCTCCATGCGAGTCTGATCCAGAATCAGCTGAACGGGACTTTAAATGAGACTTTCTCTGGATACTTTGGATTCAGAGGTAAGTTCGTAATGTTCGGTAACGTTTGTGCTGCGTTACATTTCAAATAAAGAGTTTTAGCATTTATCATCAAATGTTCTGAATTATAATACAGAAAACATTAAAGTGTCGTTTTTGAAATGTATTTATAAAATTATATTTAAGCAAAGACCTGTTTAAGGTATTTATTTACATCATATCAAATGTGTTAACTGTAGTAAAAATAAATAAAATGAATCAATTAATATTAAAATACAACATTATTATATTTATAAATAATTGAGCTAATACATATTTTTATCAATTTCAAATTAAATTTACTTACATAAATTGTTGTTAAATATAAAATGCTGTAGTTTGAACCTTCTGTGGTCTGACTGCAGACCTGTCGGGGGTGCGGTCCTTCAGTCCAGAACAGGAGCTGGAGTCCAGGATCATCGGGGGTCAGGAGGCCTGGGCCAACTCGTGGCCCTGGCAGGTTTCCCTCCGGTTCGCCTCCATGTCGGCCTGCGGAGGAGCCATCATCGCCCCCACGTGGGTCGTCTCTGCTGCTCACTGCTTCAAAAGGTCAGAGGTCATCTGTCTAGATCTGGACTAGACCAGGTCTACGTGGACCATCATTTCAGAAATGTGTCTCCTGCTGCAGGTACAATAAAGCTTCTTTCTGGACGGTTCTGGCTGGAAAACACGACCTGGATAATCCTCATGAACCCCGACAACAAGTCAGGACCTTGTACATTCTAGACCAGGTTCAGGTGTGTAAAGCAGAATCTGACTCTTTCGTTAACTCCCTGTCCAGGTGGTTGGAGTCTCCATGATCAGCAACCATCCGGCCTACAACACTCGGACCAAAGAGAGCGACTTGGTTCTGCTGAAGCTGCAGCAACCGCTGGTCTTCAACCAGTTCGTCAGACCCATCGACATCTGGATGTCTCCGCTGACCCCCCTCAGGAAGTGCACCATCACGGGCTGGGGGTCCACCCGAGAGAGTGAGGAGGTGTTCAGACTCAACTTCTGTGAAGCCGAAGCTTCATGTGTCATAGCTGCATTCTCTCTAGTGTCCACCAGGGGGCGACTCCTCTGGTTGTATAGAAGTCTATGAGAAAATGACTCTACTTCTCTCTTGATTTATTACCTCAGTAAACATTGTAAACATGAGTTTATGGTCTCAATCTCTAGTTTCAAGTCTTCTTCAATACAGCATGATGTTCATTTAGTACATTATGGTCCATTTAGAGTCACACAGACCATAAAGCAGGGGATGCTTTAGGGCGGGGCTACACGGTGATTGACAGGTCTCTACCAGAGCTCGAAACATCCGTCCACAAACCGACGGTGATGTCATGGTGACTACGTCCTCTTAAAGACAGTCCGTGACTTCTTACCATCTTGTTTTTGTGAATGGCAGAAAGGTGCATGCTAAGGAATCATGGGATGTCATTATCTGATTTCCTCTCATAAAGGATGGTTCAGCTGAAGGAGAAGCAAGCATTGAAGCACCTTTCCTTATTTTAGAGGAGTTCAGCAACTCTGACACTTCTGGCTCATTTCACTCAGCTAGGAACCTTCTCCTCCTCTTCCTCTTCCTCCTCAGATGGACCTCGAGTTAACAGACTGCAGGAGGTGAACGTGACCATCCTGTCCCCTGAAGCCTGTGACCGGTACTACCGCGGGAGGATGCGACCCTCCATGTTCTGTGCTGGGAAGCACTCAGGAGGAGCAGACGCCTGCCAGGTACTGGACCATCAGGCTCCAGAATCTGGACTACGGAACCCTTTGAACCAGTCTGAGACACGAGAGACAGAAATCCGTTGGCTTAAGAGTCAACTCGACAGAATCTACACTTTGTCTCTGACTTTGTTCTGTCTTGTCTTTGTCGTTCCATCTAGTCTCAGTTAAGCTGTCTTCCTTGTCTCCTCTCTTCATCCTCTTTGTCTTACTGTCTTTGTTCTGTTAGTCTCGTCATGCTGTCTGTTATTCTGTCTAGTCTCTTTTTATCTTGCTGTGTCTTCTGTTGTCCTGCCTCTGTCTTCAACATGTTCCTGTTTCTGTCTCAGGGGGACTCTGGAGGTCCTTTGACCTGCTTCAACGGCAGGAGATATGAGCTGGCAGGTTTGGTGAGTTGGGGGGTCGGTTGTGGACGAGCAAAAAGACCAGGAGTCTACACCAAAATCCAACAACACACTCAGTGGATCTCCGACATCATGAGTATGTGTCTCAGATAATCCAACACCCGAGTGTGTATCTGGAAGTGTGACATGTGGCATGCTTCATTCACAGATCAGGACATCTCGCATGAAGATGACGTCAGTACTGAAGGTATCTTCTGACATTACGCTGTATTTCTACTTCAATCTGCAAAGAGAACTCTTATATGTGCATTAAACTACGGTGTACGGGCGTTCATGTTATTCTGTCCACCCCTCTATGATTGCATTTGTTCACCTGCATGACAGAGAACACGTGTGGTAAGAAGCAGAGCTCCAGCTGTCAGAAGGTTCCAGGCCTCGCTGCTCTCTCGGTGTCCCAGAACGGGACCGTGTCTGTGGGGAACGTGACCGAGTGTTGCCCCTTCTTCTGGCCCTGGCAGGTCAGCCTGCAGTCCAACAGACGCCACTACTGCAGCGGAGCGCTGATCCACCAACGCTGGGTCCTAACTGCACAGCACTGCAATGTCAGGTAATGCTACAACTACTTGCACTAGTACTACTGCTACTGCAGTTGAGCAAAACGTCATGTACCCACCGCCACTGGGTCCACACTGCACAACATTGCATTAACAGGTGGTACTACTACTGCTGTTGCTAGGTCTTCACTGCAGAACACTGCTACGTCAGGTACTTCTGCTGTTAATGCTGACTTTTGTTTTGTCCCTGCAGAGCTAGAGAGGACGTGGTGGTTCTGGGAGTTTATGACCTCCGGTTCTCATCGTCTCAAACCATCCCGGTGGACGAGGTCTTCAATCTGCCACAGGACGGCAGCTTCCCCCCGACCTCTGACCTGTCACTGCTCCGCCTCAGCGTGCCCGCCAGACTCGGTGGGGACACCTGAACATAAAGCACACAAAGATTGTACACTTAAAGCTGTCCGTAGTATCTGCATGCACTGCATCGTGTGTTTACTGAGGCTTGATGGTTCCAATGAGTGAAATATTGAACTTCTGGTCGTGTCTCCAGGCTCTCGTGTGTTTCCAGTTTGTGTCCCCGATGAGGAGGACGACGAGGACCTCGATGACAGCTGGTCTTGTGTCACAACCGGCTGGGGAGCCTTGAAAGCAACAGGTATTCTCCACATAACATGCAGAGTTCTGGTCTCGCGTCTAAAACACAACAGAGGCGGAGTCGAACGGACGTCCCAGAACGTCCTCTGAGGCGTCTCTGTAATAAATCTGCGGTTGTGTCTTGTTTCCTGTACAGAGGACATCAATCCAGAGCGGCTGCACCACGTCGGACTGACTTTGGTTAATCAGACGACCTGCAGGGAGAAGTGGGGGGAAGGACTCATCACTGACTCCCACATCTGTTCACATCCTGCAGGCTCCACCTCCTGCATGGTAACTCCACCCTGAGGCCGATGGACCCCGCTGTCGGTTATGTTTCAGTCTCTGAAATAAGTTTTGATGGAGATCCCTTTAAGATCCCTCAACTGTAAAACTTCCAGTGATGAGTTTGCTTTAGAAACGATATTATCGCTTTACATTAAGACCGACTTTCAAACCAAATAACTTGTTCAGATGAAGATCTTTTAGTTTCTCTCTTGCAGGGTGACTCCGGAGCTCCGCTGCTGTGTCGGAAACGTGGCGCCTACTTCCTGTTTGGCGTGGTCACGTGGGGCAGCAGGCGGTGTGACGCAGACAAACCGGCCATCTTTTCCAGAATATCTGATTATCGCTTGTGGATGTCTGACGTGACTGAAGACGTCTGAATGTTTCTGTTAGAAAATAAACTCTTTAACTGGAAGCTGTGGACTTTTACTTCGTTCCAGCTGATACGAAATTGAATTTAATCACAAGATTAAGTGAACTCGGCCATACCTGGTTGTGGATAATCGATTTGGACTAAATTCACTACTTAGTTTTTAAGACTTAAGCTTTGACTTAAAGCGTTTTAATCATTTAAAAGTTCCTCTTGAAATCTAGCATGTGAAACGTTTTGTCGGTTTACGCTGCATTTCACTTATTGGTCTGACAACTAATCCAATCAACAACTAATCCAATCAACTTGTCATTGAAGACATCTTTTCATATATACATTTCCTTCATCAGAGCTTCAGGAGTCATGAACATGAAAGAGCTGGTGAATGTTTCCTAAAATTAGAAAAACGATGCACAATGTTTCAACACCGTTTGCTATTTTAATCAACATTTTCAACTTCACATTTATGATTCTTCACATAACTTGTTTATTATTGCAGATAATTTGAAACAAATTAAAAAATTGCAGCTTTCCTGAGAACAAATCCTGTTGAAACTGAAGGGATCTTATTTATGTTCTGTTTGTAATCAGGATGAAATGACTCAAATCTGCCAGTTTTACAGTTTGTAAAAATCTGCAGAAGTTGACGAGGAGCACCTGAACGCGTCATGATTATTTGAATCCTCCATCGACAGCCTGGGAGACGGTTCAGTTCTCAGAAAGACAAACCTTTAGAGTCTGAGACCAGACAACTGCTGCTGTCTTTTTAGCAGTGGAGAAAATAAAACTCAGGTCATAAGTCCATGATGAAGTCATGTCAGATGACTTTCCGTCCACAGAGGTATAAAAACGGTTATGAGGGTTCCAGTCCAGCAGTGAGCAGCTCAGCTGTCCTGCAGCAGGTCGTACGGTCCTCCGTTCACCACCTCGTGTTTGTCTGCTGCCTGCAGGAAGACGGACAGTAAATTCAGTTATTCTGACATCTTGTATTTCGACTTGACTCTATTAATCATTTGTTCAGTCTAAAGTTGTCAAGTTTTATGGTCTGACTTAATAATTTAAAAGCTCCAAATGGTTGAAATCTGTAAAAATGTAGACCTAAATGATTGTATTAACTGATGTCATAATGAAACTATGACTCACTGAGACTTCAGATGTGTTGGACTCAGCAAGTTCTGGAGCTGCTTCATAAACCGGGTTACAGATGCTGCGACTGCAGTCTGGAGGAGGAGCTTCTTCCTCTTCATCCTCCTGTCAGAGCCACCAGGGAAATGTCAGCACTAACAAATGTCTCATAATAACCATCAAAATGTATTCAAATGTTTTACGAATACAATCATTTTTGTTTTATACTCACAATCATTAGTTAAAAAGGTTTTATTCCAGTAGTAAAAAATGAATTGTAATAACACCAATAAATGTTATAACAACATATACTAATATGAGTCAACATGGAACACTAATATTTTACTAGTACTAACAAATGTTATATGGGTTCTTCTAGTTCTTGCTACTTAAGCTAATTCTAGGTTCTTGTATTTGTGTTAATGCTAATACATTCAAATAAAAAGAGGTTACGCTGATGCCAATACACGTGTTACACTGATGCCAATACACGTGTTACAC